AAACAAGCCAGACTGGGCATCATGGATCTGTCTATGAATGTATCATTGTGACAGGACTACTTCCAATACGAAAAAAAAAAAAAAAGGATGAGGAGGCCTACTGCCTGAACTGGAATATCCCCTTTGAGCTTGAGTCAACGTGTAATTGTGATCCTAACAATGCTCAACATGCTTTAAGCAAATTAATGTAATTCAAAATGAATACAACTCTCTAACAAGTTATACATCATGTGGTGGGGTCAAAAAAAAGGGTAACCAATACATTTTTGATAACTAATAGACCTTTCAAAGCTTTTTCTGCTGCCATCACATGACTGTAGGTTCATACTAAAAACCTGAATGCAAAGCCAAAATATTAATCAAGCAATTTTTTTCAACTGCATCTAAGCTCAACTATGAATGAAAATAAAACTAAAGTTACTGCAGTGCTCATAGTGGTTACACTTCTCTCTACAGTGACTTTAGAGTTAAAGTGCACCACAGTGAATGGTGTGCATATGTGCTTCCGCAGGGAGGTCATGGTGCTGGGCAAAGAGTGTGTGTGAAAAATTGTACAACTATGCAAAGAGTTAATGGAAACCAATTAGTAAAATAAAATAGAAGAGTTCATTGATTGATATGTTTCCCAATTATTCTGGTGATTCCAATAGTCAAAGGGGTCTTCATAACATCTGCATTTTTCTCCTGTGATAGATGCTCTGCTGCTTTCATTGCAACTTGAGGGCAGCGGACTTCAGTGATGTCACAGGGGGATCCGTTGGAAGAAATAGAGGGAGGTGAAAGGAAAATCGTTTTCATAGTTCCCTTGGTGGGGCTTTAAAGAGCAGAGGCAGGTCATCACTGCCAGGACTGAGGTGGGAAGTTATTAACCTCAGACAGGTCTTGCACAGGCGAGCCTTTGAGGGTGTACGTCAGCTTGATCCTCATTCGTAGTTGTTGCTGAAATGATACAAGGATGACTGTGTTAATGACAAAGGAATTTCTTTCAAATCATCCAAGACCACACAGGCCTTTAATTATGCATCCATGCACCATAACAAACACATTTTGACTGCAAAACTTACCTTCTGTGGGTTGAGGACTCTGATGACCTGTGTGACGGTTCCCTGGTTGAGTGCTGGGACAACATTACTGCTAGGGGAGAGGAGCTGCAGCTGGAATGTCTGACAAACAGAAACGGGAAACTTGTCATGATACCCATGGAGAAATTGAGTCATTAGAGCAGCATATAAAAGGGATGTTCACATTGATAGCACACTTAGCACAACTGATGGATTTCCAATTGTAAACAGCGCAATAGAGCCTTTTGAGTTTATTGATCAAAAACTGTGATCGCAAATAGCTTATGCAGGCAATTAAACATCACTCATACAGTCTTTCTTTGCCTGATCCTTCATCTCCACAACACATGTCAGACGCCTATTTTTCTGTCTCACTCAGTATGGAAACATTTGCACCAGAGGGAGTTGTATTGCTGTGATGAAAGCAGGATCATTACTCTGATTGTAGAATAGTAGTATTAAAGGTACTACTATTATATAATATAGCTTCAAACCTTTTCTCCAAAGATAATTTATATTCATTGAGGCTCTGCACTGATGATGTTTAGATTTGTGGCATTATTAGATATTAAATCTGCTGTGCAAAGAACAACAAAACTGTAGGACATTAACATAATAAAAGTATTAAGGACACCTATTAGAAATGAACCCCATAATATGCCCCCCACAAAATGCAATTTAGGCCATCTGTGCATGCTTACCTTTGGTACTGCAGCCTGAAAAACAAATTCTGTCATATCGGCGTCTGTCGAGTTGGAAGCATGGATGGTAATGACCGCGATGTTTGGATTAGGATTAGCTCTCTCAAATGTGAAGTCTATTTTCAGACCATTCTTGTTGTATGCGATCATAGGAGGAATAGCTGTACAGAGATTTTAGAGAAACAGACCATGAAGAGATTAAGAGAAGTTCTGACCAACATTTCACGAGCTGTGATATGGTAATCAATGGGGAAAAACACACAAAGTGCTTTAATACATAAGGGTAATTCCACACACTACTGTATATTTGGGTTTGGAGAGTCAAAGGGGAGCAATGGATTCTCACCTGCAGCTGCAATGTCATTAAAGAGGGGCTGTGAGGAGAGTCCATCTAGGAGGAAAGAGGGTTGGGAAGTGGGCACAGAGGGAGCAGGAGCAGGGGGTGGGCCGCCTGGAAAGAGGAGACAGCAACACACCAGACTTTCGGTTCAGTCTTACATAATGACTAAGTGTAATTACTGAACAGAAGCAGGAGCAGGATGGGCGTCACATTTACACTAGTGGCTTGAAAGGGGTAATAGAGAGTTTTAACAAAGTGCCTTACCACTTAGCGAGAGGTCACCCAGCAGATCAAGAAGCTCTCCTCCAGCTGAGGCAGGCTTACTGGGCATTGTGGTCTGGATCACTGGCACCACATCATTACCACCCAGCAGGTCTAATAAATCGTTAGCCTTAGAGACAAGGATAACATGTCAAGATTATCATAATGTAATAATTCCAAAAAATATACAAAAATAAATAAATAATAATGTTCACTTTATTCTTATAGCACCTTTAAACACACTTGCTTGTGTGTCTATGCACTTTGTTAACATAAGCATGCACAAAACCATCCAATCCAAATCCAAAATAACCAAGCATACACACATACAAGAATCCAACAGCCAAAGAACCCATGCAACAAAAATACCCAACCAACATCACAAGAACATCATTAGAACCCAACAAAATGAAAAGAGACCAGGAAGCAGACATGAGATGATGTAAGTAACTGAAAGAGACAGAAACATTAAGAGAGATAAAAGAGAATATAAAAACAAATAAGGGAATTAAAAATGTAAAAGTGATAAAAATGAGATGAAGAATAAAAAGAAATGAAGGCAGTAAAATAATACTAATACTAAAATACTAAAGCAATACTAAATAAGAGCAATAAAAAGGAAATAAAACCGGTATAAGGAGATAAAAGCATTCATAAAGAGCTAGTTAAAGCAACACAAATATATAAAGCTGTTTAAGAAATAAAAAGAAGGAAAAGCAACTAAAGGAAATTGTGTATATTAGGGAAATAAAGCCGTTAAAATAACTTCAAGAAATTAGATAAAATAAGTGAAATAAAGATAGAATATCAAATATAATGAGGCTATAAGAACACAACATCCCATACAAGCAGGTCTATAAGAGTTGGTTTTAAGAAGTGATATTAAAAAAAGTGATTCTGCAACCCTCATATCCTAAAGGCAGCTTGTTCCAAAGCCGAGGGGCCCTGATGGCAAAAGCATGGTCACTTTTAGTTAAAAGCCTTGACTTTTGGCCCCCACCTGAAGCTGCGGTTGCTTTAGAAATGATCAGTAAAATCTCAACATCAATTCTAAAACTAACAGGAAACCAATGTAGTGAATCTACAACTGGGGTGATTTCATCTGTTGAGATCAGTATGACACCTAGCTGCATTCTGAACATGTTGGAGACTGGAGAGTGATTCATGGTTAATTAGAAATAAACCATACATGCATACAATATTTAACAAACTCAACCCTAAAGCAATTAACAAGGCTCTCACCTGGTTGGCTGGCTGGGTGACAGGTGGTGGATGTTTCGGTTCCACAATAGAGGGCTCTGTCTCCCCATTTGTCTGGACTATTTCTGTCGGGCCATTTGAAGAAGTCTTCTCCATGATGGGCATTCGTTCTAGGAGAGCTGGCCTGTAATCATGGAACACAAGTGTAAGGGAGGGACAAAAGATTGACCAAACTTAACCACAACATGTTTTTTTTTAAACTACTAACTAAGTGTTTTGCAAGTTCACCTCATGTGGTCGTATTTCTTGAAAAGCGCGTTATATTCCACAGCTCTCTGCTGAAGCTCCACATCGATGCTACTGCCATATATAGAGACCACTTTCTTGATTCGGCTAAAAAAAAAAAAAAAAAGGGGGGTATTGGTAAGAAAAAGGAGAAATTAACATTGATTGTGGCTAAGGAACATTATCGACTTTCCACCAAAATGTCTGGAAAGGCTGAATCTGTAGGATAAAAGTAAAAGGCCTTTACTCACTTGACACTGCTGAAGCGAGTGGACAGCTTCATGATGGCAGTAAGGGAATAACCCCTGGTCACAGGTGTGGACAGGTTAGACACTAGGAGACCTTCCAGCACATCCAGAACTTCATCCTCAGTCACCTTAAAAAACACAATATATAACACAATATATCAAGACAAGCTACATCTTTATTCTGTGTGGCTGTAAGAGCTTTCCTAATGAATCTTCAAAAAGTACCTGAATGGGCTCCTCCTCTTCACACTGTCCAGACACCAGCAGGTCCCCATACTCTCCTATGCACCAGGACGCCACCTGCACTAGAGGTTGCTAAAGAACAAAGACAAATAAAACTTAACTCTGGTACACTCTCAAGCTTGTTTAAAATACAAAAGGGGAATTACAGAATTAAATCTAATTTTGACCCAAAGCAGAGGTGATCTTACCTGAGAGATGTCATCCAGCAGTGCTTTGTAAAGTCTCTGTACTGTGTAGGCGTGCATCTCCACACTGTTGGTGATGAGCTGGATAAGGTTGGGAACAGAATCGTCTCGCACATAGCTCCCTGCCTTCAAATAAAATCAGAATTGACAATCAGAATTACAAATAAACCTTGATTTTCTTTTTATAGGTTGGCTGAGGAGGTTAACAACCATATTGGGTTGTATCATATTTTCTTTTTAGGGCAAAATTGGTATTTTCTTGGGGAACAAATCCAATAAATAATCAAGGCAATACATGAACTGAAGTGTTTTTGGTGTATACATACTGTTGTCAGGACTCTCATAATGGTGTCAATGTGCCATCTTTTGGAAGGGGCGTACCTGTAACACAAAGACAACATTGATTAGTCCCAGCTAAGGGTTGAAGGAGCATCATTTATATGTAAAGCTAACTTAAGTTATATACAGTAAGGGGACAAATGCTGTCAGAAAACAAATGTTATCAGCAGCGTCTGTCAGACGATGGATCACTCTTTTTTTCATCAACCAGCATTTTCATGTTAGATATCCCCTGTTCACTGTGGTGCACCAAACAGAAATGTGTGTATTGTACTCTTTAAAACAGCATTTAAATGCAATGTCATACTTTTCTGCAGCTAAAAACACTCCTGATGCACAGTCTGCCTTGAACTCAGGGTCACAGGAGTCCAGGAAGTAGAGGAGCTCTTTCATCATGCCTCTTATGTTGTTGCCATTCACCAGGGCAAAGCTCAGTTCCATTGCACGTCTACACAACAACGAGAGGTAGAAAAAGGTCAAACACAACAAATCAACATAGCGAGAAACGTTAAGATGTATTTCACGTGTGCACTTCAAGCAATGTGAAGTACCTCTTGATAGACACATCCAGGTCTTTTAAACAATCCACAATGGTGCTCCGATGCCTCTGCACTGCATTGTGGTCTGTCTGTACAGTCTTTAGTAGAGATGTCAATGCCACATATCTGGAATTGTGAGTTTCATTAAAATAAATCATTAGGAATTGAAGATAACATTTCTGATGACTGAATGGATAAAAGGCCAAGTCAATTAATTACCTGATATTTTTGTCATTGTTAAGAAGGAAGCGCCCCAGTATGTTAATGGCCAAGACCTGCAGGATAAAAAGCATTTAGGCAAGAAAATGTAAAAAATACCCATGCAAAAATGTGCTACTTATAATTACAACTCACCCTCAGCCCACTTTCAGACTTGATGTCCATTATAGTCAGTACAGTCTCGTACAGAATGGCATTGCCTACATTTTTACTTGTCTCTGTGTTTGTTGCAACCTGCAAGCACAAATACAACTCATTTGTAAATTTCCATTAAGTCTACTGTAAGAAGATTTTGATCATAAGCACCAATTACAATGAAGTGTCTTACCTGTGCAAGGATGTCATTCATTGCTTCACTGGAGTCATCATCACTCTTGCCTAAAATTCTCAGTAGTCTCAATATCCGCACCTCAAGAAAGAAAACAAAAAAATCAGTGCCGTTCTGTCAGTTCACTTGATAAGTGTGATCCGCCTTAATGATGCTAAAACTGCTAAACTTTTGTTTTAGGTCCATGCTTGCAGATGCTTGGCTGTCTTTATGTTTCTTTTTCTAAAATAACCTGTTGACAACACAATTTCTGATCATGGTTGCTCATGATGTAGCACAAATGTTAATCTTCATCTGCACTGACAGTAAAGAGTATTGGAATCAAAAGAGGGGGACATTTACCTGCAGGAATGGATCGCTAATGCCTGACACATCATGCTCAGGAGAGTATCCAGACATGATTAGGTTCTTCAGGATTCTTACCAACTGTGGAACCAGCTACAAGAAGACCAAAAAACACAACAGAAAAGGAGAGGTATCACATCATTTTGTGGAAACTCTCAGTTTTCAACTTTTAACAATTTACCATGTCCATCTTTTTATCAACAATTATACAAAAGTGTCCATCATTTACCTGTAAAGATGATCATTTTCATTGAAAGTGGCAGCCCATTAAACTCATTAAGAGTCATTTGTGTTGACATTCTTTAATTAAGATTAAGTTACGGTTAGAACTTAAGAGCCCGTATAGTCACATTTCTTAGGCTGTGAAATCAAAACATTGATTGCCCAAAAGTATTAGGTTAGAAAAATTGTCTTTAAGAGGAAAATACAATCTAAATACCCACATCTGGCTCTTCAGAGCAGAGCTACATAAACAGATATATTATTGTATGAATAACCCAGGTTTAATTAATTCAAGTGATAGTAAGAACAAAAAAATCATTTGTCCCATGAGTCAAAAAAAGATTATCCAAACGTTTACTTCCAAAAACATTACAATATTTTGAAAGAAAACCTGACGTCTAATCCTGTGCTAAATAAGAAGAGGTCAGAATGTGTATTATTTTCTTATTTAGTTTTGATTTGCTATGCACAGCTGAAAACACTCCAGACCAGATCATTTTACAGAATTCACAAAAATAACCCCAACCCTAACCCTAACTGATACAATCCATATCTACTGCTGTAGAAATAATGACAAGTAAGCAACCAAAAATGCCACTATCAAATTATTGTTTTAAAGAAATGTAAACCTTTTAAATCCTTGAACTACATAAACCTGACTCATTAGATTTAAAAAAAAAATTATCTCCACAAATACACAGACCTAACAGGTGGGAATAATCTGTTAGGCTAATGGTGACCAGACTAGTGACCCAGTCTATCATGGGTTAACACACCTTCCCAACTGCTTTTAAATGACAGTGATCAAACAGTGAGGTGCGTATTAGGCAATTAATGACACTCAAAACAATAGTGAGAAATGTATCTGACAAATGGAGCAACAATTCTTTTATAAATATTCAAAACACTAACATAACAATGATCACCGAACAAGTTAAATTAATTGAAATTATAAATTAAAACACAATATGACATAACTCAACACAAATTGGGTTACGTCTGAGGTGACTGTGAGGAGTGATTACTATTTACAGCATGCACCAGCTATGAGATCAGAATGTACTCTTACCTTCTCATTCTAACACAATGCAGGAATTGTAACAAAGACAAATGACAGAAAAAATATGAGGTAGATGTTAGGGAGGGGAAACTGGAAATCATTCACTTTCAGAAAAGCTTAAAATAATGTTTAGATCATGAGCATGAGTCGTGGTGCTTCTGGCACAGTGATTTTATTTTTACACCTAAAGAGGAGAGGTACGGTAGCAGTTGAAATACAAGAGGAAAAGACAGCGATAGGAGGTTAAAAAAAGAGACATACTCTGGACGTAGAACAAAGCGGTATTAAAATCCAAGCCTTATTCAATATCTTAAGTTTAATTGTACTGAACTTAATACTGTTTATCTAGCTTAACTATATCAAAAAGAAAAGTGTATGCAAAGTGAAAAAGACATGTGCTTAAAAATAATGCAGTAATTATTCTTATCAATTCCTGTTGTTGGGTAAGAGAATCTATTTGTACCTTTCTGAAGTGTGCCAGCATGTCAGGACTTCTTTCACACATCTCGGTGAGGAGGACAACTGATGTATGTAGAACACCTTGGGAGAGACACAGGGAAGTTTAGAATTGAAATGAGTGAATGGTTTTTGTTTTTGCCACTCAGTGCTTCTGTTGCATCCAGCAACGGCATACTGCTATTAAATTTTGATAAATGTACATAATCAAATGTGTACAAATATACAGGCTTTCGTGCTCTTGTAGGTCTTTTACCAGCCAGGCTGACCAATCACACAGAAGCCCTGATGTTAAAAATATGATGTACTGGCATGAACAAAAAACACATGGGACATTAGGTGACAGCATCATAAATCTGTAAGATCATCACAGACTAATCCTTTTCACTCATCTGAATGTTACAATAGTTGAAAGCACATCAAGTGAGTGCTTTCAGTAGAAACCAGGGGTCGTGATGTCTGAAGCAACATATTTATACTTTGACTTTACATTTTGTAAGTTATCAGTTATTCAGTCATTTCTTTCAATGTGTAGGATAACATTTTGACATGTCTATGTAAGGTGTAAGTTTGAATAAGTTAATATAAATTATACAAGAGCAGGGTACATTCTGCACTACAGTACATATTTCCTTTTCTCGTATTGCATCTATCTTGTATTATATAGCTTTAAATGCTTTTCTATCTTGTTTATGTCCCCTGACAGCAGGAGACTGCTGTTCACTAGCTACTGCTTTTATGCTAGTTTGTTTTTTGCACAAATGCATCAAAACAAATTCATTGTATTTGTAAATTCACTAGTCAATAAACATGATGAGGTGTGTAAGGTTTAACATACCTCATATTTTTTAATTTTAGAGCCATGTCATCAAATCTTCCATTTTTACATTATTGGATGACATGAATGGCCAGACAGAAAATCCTTCTTTTTTTTTTTAATAGCAAACAAATACGTGCCTTTGCAAGGCATCTCTGTAGCATTGCTACACAATGTCAAGGAAGATCAAATCTCCCCTATATGGGGAAAACACAAGCCCTAGAGTTTATGACAGACCAATTAATTCTCCTATCCTCTGAAAAGGATGACACCAAAAGGACGTGAGCTGCACTGCTGTTCTGTTCTGAGCAGAGCACTGAGTGGCAGTAAAAAAGAAAAAACTGGACTTGTGTAGGACAGGCACACTTCCCTGTGAGCCAGTAACTGCATCCTGACAAACGGTTTACACTTACCATGGTTCTTCTCGCTCAGCAGGTTTTTTGTAGCTGGAAGGAACATTTCCATAAGTTCTGGAACCTTCCTGATGACATGAACTGCACACAACGCCGCCTGTCAACAAATAACACTATGAAGAACAGTCTGACCTTTATCCCTGTAATTGTTTTGAGTAAATGTTCAAGATAAATGCCTACAGTTTTATGGTTACATTGTCCCCAAAGACTTTAAATTATTCATCATACAAACACGACAACGATGAGGGCTTACTTTTTTCCTCAAGTAAGAGTTGGATGTTTTGAGCAGCTTCTCTACCTCCCCAGCCAGGTCACGACACATTTCTGAGGAACCCATGCAGCCCAGAGTGCACAAGGCCAGGCCCTGGACGTACTGAGTGCTGTGATTCAAGTCACTGGGATAGGAAAAAAGTTGAATGAACCATGGAAACTTCTAAGTATGTATACAGGAAAAATTTGGATGACAGCCAGAATAACACGCAAGTAAGAATTTGGTGTTCAAAGCAACCATCAACATCGCATAGAAAAAGTAGCAAAATTTAAAAAGCAAAGAAAGAAAACCCTCCACTTACTTCTTAATGCAATTTGTCATTAGAAGGTGGACATCCTGCCTCTCGTCCAACAGCAGCATAGCCCCCAAATAACCTATTCGTTTGTCAGTGAACTTCTGGGACGCAATCAGCTTCAGGCACTCCAGCTAGAAAACAATTCATCATACCACTTAACTGTCCATATATATACATTTTTTATCATCAGCATCAGATGATCAATTGTCACCTTGTACAAACAAATAGTCCTACCAACACGTAAAATGCAGG